AGACTCACCCACATGGACTGAAAGTCCATTATTTAACTATTAGTCTTATAGACCCTTATGAAGACGTCTAGAATGATGTTTAAACATATAGCTGATACCATGACCTAGCCATGTAGTCTGGGGACATGATGACAGGGGTGGAGGGGAGCAGGCAGGAAGAGACAGAGACACAGAGCGAGACAGAGCATGGAGAATCATGTTCCTCCATCTCTGTTGTTGTTTCAAAGCTTAGTGCCATATCTGGGTCTGTTCACTGGCACTTGCGTTCCTCCTCACTCCTGGCTTTATATTATCCTTCCTAGTTTCAATTTCTTTTCTGTGGGGAACACAGGTAGCAAAGATGGCCCTGAGAGGAAGTTGAGTGGGCAGAGCCGGATTTGTTTAGGTTCAGTGTGCAAACAACTCATGGAAGCTTAGGTGCATGTTAAGGTATGGCCTTTCAGTGATTGGTTGGTTCCATTTCCTCCCCTCCCACGCAGTCTTTTGCTTTATAAAGGGGATGCTCCCTGCTGCGTCTGATTGTCTCCAGGGCTAAGGGAGGCTGGGGAACCGGCTAGGGGCCACACTTCGCACTTACCTTTCCTCGACCTCATCCAAAGACAGACAAAGACCCAACACTTTTCATCTCATTTTCTTTACTTCTGGACCTATTATTTAAGCCATGTTTTATTCTGTAGAGTTTATGCAAGAGGCTTTGGATATAGTCTGGCAGAGGTAGAAATAAGCAGAGTGCATACAATGTTTACCTACAACCTATCACTGGAGGCATTCAGAAAAGCTCTAAATAATGACTTAATCAGCCTGGATAAAAGTATACAACTTATAATTCTGAAAAGTGACTTGTCCATATGAATTAGTGGTATTCACGATACGTTTAAATTCTGGAATTTTGTAAGTTTATCCTAAGGGAAATAATCAGAAATGTGGATTATATTTAAATAGTCTTATTTTTAATTGCAAAAGTGAAAAACCAACTTAAAGGTCTTGTCAAAGGAGAACCCAATTTTAAAAGCAGCCATTCAAAGAATGTTAAATGCTAAGGGAAAACTGCTCACATTATTATGCTTACTAAAGCAGCAGAATACACATGATTCTAATTATGTTGTTAAATGCTTAGAAAAAGATTGGAGTTCTATTTTAGCAAAGGAAAACTCTGGGAAGTGGTATTATGAGTCCATCATTCTTATCTAATGTTTTGCTTTCTTCTTTTTATGATTCTGGGAGTATAATAGATTTCCAATCTGACAGGGAAAGGGAAGAAGACAGTAGATGTAGAGATAGGTTATTGGATAAATTATTGTTCAGCGCTAACAATTTGTGCGTAGGACATTAGCCCTTGGTAAAAAGCTTTGTGTATGACAGATTCCAATAGGTACAGAAAGATTGAGCCAACCAGCTGAAAGGTGAAGAGTGGAAAGGAAGATTCCAGAATGGACTCTTGTTTGAGATTTAAAAAAAAAATTTCATGACAGAATTTCATGACACCAGCATAATCTACTCCACAATTTCGTCCAGGGCAAGTCCAGCTGGAGCATTAAGTAGGACAGAACAAACTGTAATGTTTGAAAGCAAACATTACAGTCTGTGCTGGGGTGAACAGAAGGTGGCCATGACCATGACCTCATTTCAGACAAGCACAGATGTCTATGCATTTGAATAATGTATTTGCAAGGGATGGAGATAAATGTCTTCTTTCTGTAAATACAGAGAGGGTGATCCCTTGAGACTTTTACTCAATCCATGATTTCCTTAAATTCGACCTCTTGAACATCACCAACTGAATAAAAGTTAGTTATGACACAAAGCCAAATCTTGACGAACCTAAACTCTGAAGGAGGAATCAAAAGTAAAAGGAAGCCAGACACTGGTGGCTTGTATCTGTAATCCTAGCTCCCCAAGAGGCTAAGATCTGAGGATCATGGTTCAAAGCCAAGCCAGGTAGAAAAGTCCATAGGACTTGTATCTCCAATTAACCAGCAAAAAACTAGAAGTGGAGCTGTAGCTCAAGTGGCAGAGCACCAACCTTGATTGAAAAAGCTAAGTAAGAGGACAAAGGCTCTGAGTTCATGCCCTTGTACTGGCACAAAAAGATAAAAATAAAACAAGAGCAGACCTGTGGGATGGAGAGCTGTGGGACAAGATACAGGGTGGATCCTTGGCTGGAACCGAGCAAAGTCAACAACAGAAGGGCAGAGAGGAGAAGGAGGGGCTTGAGCACCACTTGAGCACCACTCTGGGTGGCTGAGAATTTGCCTTAGGAGAGGCAGGAAAGAGATTTGCTGGGAGAGGAGGGAGGGATAATATGGAAAGGCTGGCAATGGAGAGCTCTGTTGAGGTAGTACAAATCGTTTAGATAAGAAAAGTAGGCTGCACCTAGACCCTGAAGAAAGCTGCAGGACAAGGTGGGGAAAAGGAAGGGAGGCTGTGTGGATTTTCTTTCATGTTAGACCCCTGTGGATTATTAATTTTTGGAATAGACTGTTTTAGGAAAATTTGCCTGGTATCACTGGGACCGCCACGGTTTTGTCCCATTTGGGCATGTTGTTATAAAGATAAACTTAGCCAGGTGTGGTGTGTAGAACAGTGTATTACACACATACAGAAATGGACAAGAATCCTATCCGTTGCAAGTGTGTGGGATGATGTTTTGGACACATTCTTTCCAGAAACTGACAAGAACCCCATCAGCACCTTGGCCAGAGACTCTGCCAAAAACAACTTCCAGCCACAAGTGGAGTGGTGAAAAGGAAAAAGGCTTTGAAGCTAAACAAAATTAATTAAAGGTCTGGCCTTATCGATCATTGCCAAATTACTTTACCCATCTTCATCTGTGGAATGCACATTAGTTCCTGACCCTCTCTATTTGTCTATCAAACTATTAAAGTACACACTTGTAATCCTAGCAAGTGGGAGACTAAGGCAGGAGAGTCAAGTTCAAGGCCAGCTTGGACTATACAGTGAGACTCCACCTCAAAAACACAAAACCAAAAACTGCTAAAGCAAAACCACTGATGCCTGATCTTGTATAATGTTTTTGGGTGACTTGGAAAATGTCTTTACTATAGATACCCCAAACAAAAAGGGATGGTAAGGGGAAACAAAGAAAGAGGCAATAATGCTTGATAAGAAATGTACTCATTACCTTGCTTGTGTAATTGTAACCCCTCTGTACAGTATTTCACAATAAAAAACTTATTAATAATAAAAACAATCATGCTAAACTTAGAATATATTTTTAATTAAAAAAATGTATCTTGCTGGGCATTGGTGACTCACACCTATAGTCCTAGCTATTCAGAAGACTGAGATATGAGGATCATAGTTCAAAGCCAATCCAGGCAAGAAAGTCCTTGAGACTCTTATCTCCAATTAACCACCAAAAAGTCTGAAGTGGAGCTATGGCTCAAGTGATAGAGTGCTAGCCTTAGGCAAAATAGTTCCAGGACAGTGTCCCGGTCCTTTTGTTAATTCCTTCCAAACCAACCTGATAAGCAGTGTTGTGTGTGAGCTGAAAGGTGTGCAACATCCAAAGGATAAGGACGTATTTCAAAATTTGCCTTTCTCCTTCCAAAAGAACTGGCTTCCCAGGTCTTCAAAAAAATTGGCTTTCCAGGTCTTTTTCCCAAGGGAAAGAGGAAACAAACCCCAGATTCTTAGAAAGGCAAGGGAGGGAAAGAGACACTAAGAAAAGCTAGCTGGTTGAAAGTGGCGGATGGTTTTATTTGTGCTGTAATGAAGGTTGTGCATCACCTGGTACAGACTGGCTCTTTTCCAGAGGGGGCGTGTGTTTGAGTGTGTGCAGGCACACGCGCGCGTGGAGAGTATGCAGTGTGGAAAGTACGTGTGTCTGAGTGTAGACGTGTGTGAGCAAGTGGATGTGTAAACCAGTATTTAGAGCTTGGTGTGTGAACTGTGTGTGGTGTGCAATGTTGGTGTGTAAGGAGTGTGAGCGTGGACAGCGCTGGTGTGCACCTGTGTGTGCACGGTAGAGTGCGCAGTGTGAGGAAATGTGAGTGTGGATGGTGTGCAGCGTGGCAAGCGCGAAGTGCGCACCAAGTTTGGAGTGTTGTGTGTGCGCGCACAAGCGCCGCGAAGCGTGTGCATGCAGCACCCCGTGCAAGCGCGGCGGGATCTGAGTACGCGGCGGGCGGGGCCCCGCAACTCCTTTACTCACTTTCTCGTCTCGCGCCCCGCGCTCCCCACGCCCCCCCCTCCAGCCGCCATGCCCACGCCCCGCGCTCGCCCCCGCCGCCGTGCCCGCGCCCCGCGCTCCCCCCCCCCCCCGCCGCCGTGCCCGCGCCCCGCGCACCCCCCTCCAGCCGCCATGCCCACGCCCCGCGCTCGCCCCCGCCGCCGTGCCCGCGCCCCGCGCTGCCCCCCCCCGCGGCCGTGCCCGCGCCCCGCGCTCCCCCCCCGCCGCCGTGCCCGCGCCCCGCGCTCCCCCCCCCCGCCGCCGTGCCCGCGCCCCGCGCTCGCCCCCGCCGCCGTGCCCGCGCCCCGCGTTCCCCCCCCCCGCCGCCGTGCCCGCGCCCCGCGCTCGCCCCCGCCGCCGTGCCCGCGCCCCGCGCCCCCCCCCCCGCCGCCGTGCCCGCGCCCCGCGCTCCTCCCCCCGCCGCCGTGCCCGCGCCCCGCGCTCCCCCCCCCCGCCGCCGTGCCCGCGCCCCGCGCCCCCCCCCCGCCGCCGTGCCCGCGCCCCGCGCTCCCCCCCCCGCCGCCGTGCCCACGCCCCGCGCTCCCCCCCCCCGCCGCCGTGCCCGCGCCCCGCGCTCCCCCCCCCCCGCCGCCGTGCCCGCGCCCCGCGCCCCCCCCCCCCCCGCCGCCGTGCCCGCGCCCCACGCTGCCCCCCCCGCCCCCCGCCGCCGTGCCCGCGCCCCGCGCTCCCCCTCGCCGCTGAGCTGCGCCGCGTGCGGGCCAGGCCGGGCTGGGCGGCAGGCGGGCGGGCGGGAGCGCGGGGTGCCGAGCGCGGCGGTCGAGGGCCGGGCGGGCCGGGAGAGGCGGGCGCAGGCCTCGCGGGGCGGCCGCGGACATGTGCAGGATGTCCTTCAAGGTGAGCGCTGGGCGTTTGGGGCTCTGGGGGCGGAAGTGGGGGAGTGCGGGGACCTGCACCCCGCGCCAGCTGGAGCCGCAGGCCTCCGGGGTCCCCAGCTGCGGGCCAGGCGAGGGAGGCAGCGGCGGGGCTGAGATGCGCCTGGGGGGACAGGGGGGTCTGTGGTTTGCCCGAGGGCATTGGGAGCTGAAGGCTGCGGTGGGTGGCGGGGCTGGGCGGCGGGTCCGCACGCGCTAACTTGGAGGGCGGGGACAGGCCAGGGACCAACGCCTCCCTGCAGCCGCAGTGTGCGGCCGCGTCCCGACGCGCACTCCTGCACCCACCGCCACCGCCACCAGAGCACTTTTTCTGAGCACTGCAGCCGCGTGGAGGTGCATTTGATGACCAGGCGTCCGTGTCAAGAGGAGCCTTGTGTTAAAAGAGTTCATTGGAGTCAAGCTATGTAATCCCCAGGTGAAAGCGGGGCGCCCATTGATTTGTCTAAACTGAAAAAGGTTTTGATAAAATCATAGCTAACTGGATTGAGCTGGACCCGCGCTCCGGAAGGACTGTGGGACCGTGCGCTGCGCGGCCCTCCTTTTCTTAAAATGGGTAAACTAAGGCAGAGAGAAGTCAAATAACCGTTTCACAGTCTTGCAGATAAAGTTAGTGTTGAGAAAACGCAAGCATGCAGGACCGCCGGGAATGACAGGGCGAGATTTGCACATCAGAAAGATCTGGCGTCAGCTTTCAGAGAGGCCAAGCTGGGAGACCAATCAGGACGGTGTCATGGCCATCTCCTTAAGAATAGTAATGGTCCAGAAGTCAGGGAGGGAGGGAGGAGGTAGACAGATGTGAATGAGTTAAAATTTTGTCTTAAAAAAAATGTTTAACTTGGTGTTAGGGAAGGCAAGCGGAGGGAAGATGAAAACTATGGTTTGGGATAAAGTTTTTGCGGATGGATGGGAATCCAAGCAGAGGTGTCTGTTAGACTTGTGAACCTGAACCTCAGGAGGAAGTCTAGGTGTTAGAGATGAAATTTTGGAGAGACCGTGAAAATGAATGGGCATGCCCAGCGATGACAAAAATCTCAGAGATCAAAATTTCAGAATGAGCAGTGTCAGGTACAGTGGCTCAAACCTGTAATCCCAGCTGGGTAGGAGGTATAGGTAGGATTGTGGTCTTTGGCTGGCTTGTGGGCAAAATAAATTTAAGACCCACACTCTACAATTGTCTAAAGTGAGTCAGGGCTCATGTGGTGCCCGTGTACCACAAACAAAGAAAGAAGCTGTTGCCTGATGGCTCACTCCTGTAATCCTAGGCACTCAGGAAACTGAGATCTGAGGATCACAGTTCAAAGCCAGCCTGGGCAGGAAAGTCTGTGAGACTCTTTTCTCCAATTAACACATAAAAAGCTGAGAGTGATGCTGTGGCAAGTGATTGAATGCTGGCCTTGAGCAAAAGAAGCTTAGGGACAGTACCCAGGCCTTAAGGAAGGAAGGAAGGAAGGTTAGTATAAGAAAACCCACTGAGAAAATAAGATAAAGAAAATTTAGTCTTTCAATAAAGATGAGGAGACAGCATAGTAAATAAGCTAAGAATGAAAACATTGTTTTAGTAACAGAATAGCACTGCTGACCCTACAAAAAACAGTTTCAGTGAGGTGTCAGGTTTAGGAGCCAGACTTCAGTAGCTTCAATGGAGAGTAGGTAGAAATTCAGCAAGAATGAAGTGGTCGTGGAGGGGGGTGGGGTAGGGAGGTGGTTTAAGGCAGTGGCTACAACAGGGACACAGAATTGAGAATTGTGGGGAGGTGGAAGATTTTGTTGATGTTTTTGTTTGCTTCACAGTGGTAGAAATTTGAGAATTTTTAAATGTTGATAACAAATTTAAGAAGACAGCTCAGTTTTAAAATTGGGTGAGGATCTGAATAGACCTGACTCCCAAGAAGATGTACAGATGGCCAACAAACACCTAAAAGATAAAAAGTTGCTCAATGTTATTTGCTATCAGGAAGCTGAAAATCAAAACTGCAATGAGATGAGATTCCCGCTACAAGCCTCCCCTCCTCCACACACACAATAGGATAGCTAATCAACACAATATTGACAGGTGTTGGCAAGGATGTGAAGAAATTGGAACCCTCATACATTACTCATAGGAATGTAAAATAACGCAGTACTTAAAAAAAATTGAAGCCAGCACTGTGCACTGGCTGGGCACTGGTAGCTCACACCTGTAATCCTACCTATTCAGGAGACTGAGATTTAAGGATCAGGGTTCAAAGCCAGCCCAGGAAGAAAATCTGTGAGACTCCTATCTCCAGTTAACCACCAAAAAACCAGAAGTGGTAGTGGTAGAGCACTAGCCTTGAACAAAAGCTCTCAAGGACAGTGCCCAGACCACAAGTTCAACCTCCATGTCTGACAAAAAGAAAAGAAAGAAAGATTTGGTCTGTTTCAAAAGTTACCATATGATGCAGTAATTCTCCTTGATATATGCCCAAGCTAAGTGAAACTAGATGTTCACACAAAAATATGTATCTCTTTCTCTGCATATTATTAGTGTTCATAATAATCAAAAGCTGGAAACAATCCTAATGTCTATCAACTAACAGAACAGTATGTAATGTAAATGACATAGATTGGAAGGCTGAAAGAACAGACATTAATTTCTTATCATTCCAGGGCCTGGGAAGTCCAAGATCAAGGTGCTAGCAGATTTGGTGTGTGATGAGGACTTTTTCTAGTGTTGTAGCATGTCACTGATAGCTGTTTCTTCATATCATGGAGAGAGAAGATGCCAGAGTTTCCTCCTCCTCTTAAAAGGGCACTAATCCTTACATTGTGGGGTCTCCTTCAAGACCTCATCTCAACATAATCCACTCCCAAAGACCAGCTTCTATGATATACCATCACAGTGGAACTAAGACTTCAACAGAGGAGTTTAGGAGAACACACCCATTTAATCGATAATACTCCCTGGCTTCTCAAAATGTATGGATGGCCTCAAGCCGGGCACTGGTGGCTCATGCTGTAATCGTAGCTACTCAAGAGTCTGAGATCTGAGGATTATGGTTGGAAACCAGTCCAGGCAGGATTCTTACCTCCAATAGCCTACCAAAACAAAAAGCTAGAAGTGGAGCTGTGGCTTTAGTAGTAAAGCTTTAGCCTTGAGTAAACAGAAGCTCAGGGATAGTGCGCAAGCCCTGAGTTCAAGCCCCAGGACCAGCACAAACACACCATGCAAAATTCATGACCTTCTTACCTGAAAAATATATTCATTCCACTTCAACAATCCTAGAAGACTTGATTTGTTGCAATATCAGCTCTAAAGTCAAAGTCACACTGAAATACCATTTCAATCCAAAACAGGTGACTCAAGATTCAATTTGCCCTAAGAGAATTTTCTCTCTCGCTGTGAATCTGCAAAAAGTTCCGAACTTCCAAAATGCAGTTGCAGGCTAGGCATGAGACAGCCACTTGCATTCCACAAGGGAGGGATAGAAAACAAGGGTGTTAGGTCCCAAGCAAGCCTAAACCCTGGCAAGATAGTTACCATTAGATGTTAAGGATGGAGAATGACAGATGCTCGTCTAGACTCATTGAGACAGCATCATTGTCCTCAAGACATTGGTGGTTATAACTTTAACATGTGAATCTGGAGAGGTCACAAACAATTGGTCCATAACATGGGATAGCCATAGCATAGAATACCATTCAGCAATAAAAAAGAATGAAGCAATAATTACATGCTACAACATGGGTGGACTTTGAAAACATGTGAGTTGATGCGAGCCAAATACAAAAGACCACATCTTGTTTGAAATGTCCTGGAACATGATTGTTAATAGATAATAATCAGTCTGCGGTCTCTTTGGGGGATGATGAAATATCCTAGAATAGATGGTTGGATGATATACAACCTTAAGAATATATCAAAATACACCAAATGGTATGCTTTGAAAGGATGAATTGCTTCTTAATCAGAAATGGTTTTTAAATGATAGCAAGAGATTAGAGGGGGACATTTGTGTGTTGGGTGCCGCAATTCCTCAAGGGATTGGAAGGAGTACTTAGAAAGGTCGGGGAGGCCTCTCCCATTAGGACAAAGGGGAAGAGAGGAAGCTGGACATTGATGCATTGTAAGGTGCTGTGAGGACTGGGTGGATAGGAAAGATCCCACCTGGCTAGGTGTTACACTACTAGGTGAGGTGACATAGTGGATAAGAATGTGGGATGGTCCAATTGGGGGGAGAGCGAATTTGGCCAGGGAGGGGTGTCTGAAAGCCAGGAAGGTGCATTTCTCACTCCAGTGTTAGTGTGCGAGAGGACTCTATTAAGGGCTGCTGGGGAGGCTGTGGCTGGAAAAGCTCTGTGCTAGGTTAAGGAGGAAGAGGAGTTTTCCTCTCCCTTTCTATTTACCATGGGATGGAGTTCTAGAAGGCATTGAGGGGAGGTCTGAGGGTTCAGAATTTCAGACCGATTGAAGATTTAGCTTTCCACACTCCCTACCCACCACCTCTCATTGTATCAACTATATTAAAATGTACCCACAAGCTAGGAGCCGTAGTCTTATGCCTATAATACTAGCTATCAAGAGGCTAAATTCTAGAGGATTACAGTTCAAAGCCAGCCTAGGGCCAAAAAGCCCATGAGACTCCACTTCCAAAATAACCATAAAAAAGACAGAGTGAAAATGGCTCAAATAGTAGGTAGAGTGCCAGCATTGCAAGCAAGGCAAACAAGCAAACTGAGCAAGAAAGAAGTCTGAGTTCAAACCCCAGTACTTAGAAATGGTATACCCACAGATCACAATAATAAAAGACATTGTAAATTTTAAGGGATGTTTTAAAATATTGCCTTTTAAATGATTTCGCTATAATCAGCTAATTTATCTTTAGACCACGATTTTTCTGCTGTTTTCATCTATAATCAGTAATTCTTCCAATTAGGAGAAAAATCTGACCTGAAAACTGTGTTCATGGGTCACTGGTATTTTATGCATACCAAATTTAGTGA